GCCACCCAGGCGCCCCAGCAACTCACTCTTCTAATACATTAATTATAAGAACATTAGTTATTCTATCCATTTTAAATTAAGAAGATTACTTTCTTCTGTAAAACTTACAGGAAGAGTCATTGTAAATCACAGAGAATAAAAAAGTTGATCACATTACTCATTTCATATAATATTGTTCATCGGGAGCTTGCAGGAGAGGCTAGCGAGACTTCTCATTTTTTGATAAAAAATCCAGAGTCATTAATTTAATTGTCTTTTCCTGCTTGGCTCGGTATGGGAAACATATAAGTTCAAAGTGATCAATTGTCCTCTAATTCCCATCTCTATCTAACAGTTTAAATGTATATGCAACTAGAATGTCAAGATTTGAAAGCTGAAGTAGTTGACATTTTTGGGAAGTCCTGAGAAACTCCAGATAGTGTCTGTGTTCTTGAATTCACAACAGCTTGCTCTGGCTGCCTTGTGGGAATACTTAGCTTCTGCACTGATAGGCCATTGAAATATAAAGTGAAACCTGGTTTGAGAATTGGCCACCTTGTTGTTTTCATATAGCTGGGAAACCAAGGACATTTCGTGAAAATAGAAAAGGCATCAGTTTTTATAGAATTAAAAGAAGCTACTTTCAAATTCATTAAATTCATGTCTATTGTAAAGCAGTTTCAGAAAGCAAGACTTAATAATGTAGATTCTGAGACTAACCACTCATCGCATTGCTTCATTAGAAGACTGAAGGCAACAAATTCAGATTGGTGACCTAATGGGCCTATTTTTGTTTTCAACTCATAGTTGTCAAATTCCAAAACACACTCTTAATTGGATTCAACAATTTCATTATTATAGAACATTTGATTTAACAAAGAAAGACATTTTTTGACTGGATTTCTTGAAATCAACTTAAATGGTTTTCGTGACCATTCTTTTCCTAACCACAAAAATGGCAATTCATGTTCCTATCCAAAGTACAGACTTCTATTCGTTTACTTCTCAACACTTTAGAAGTCATCAACAAAAAGCGGGTCTGAGTCTCTCAAATCTAATAAAGAACAGGAAAGCTTCAGTATGGTTTTCTACTATTAGCCATTTTTCCCATTTAAACTACTGTCAATAAATTTGGGAATGTGTAGGACAGTTTGGAGCATTAAAACATTTTTATTAGCAGCCTCTGATCCCACAGAATGAATCTGGCATTTGTGCTTCTCCAAAATCTTTATTAAAATACTCTAAAGAAATTCATAACAGCTAGAAATGCATTAGTAATAACGCAATTTCCTATTATAAATAATGCAGAGGAGAATGGCATCCCAAATATTGAAATTGTATCTGAATGACAATCTAATTTTAATGTCTTTTAATGTCTTGATATAGACCTGCCAGCCATATCCAATGGGAAAAAATAATCCTCCTCTGTGCTAATGACAAAACCCCAATCATGTTCCAGACAAGACCTTTAGAAGCAATGGGATCACTTGGCATGTTACTCTCTGAAACTCACTAGCAATTATAGGAAACTTAGTATTTTTTTAATGGACTTAATTTGGCATTCAAATGGATAAAACTAAATACTTCTATTCTTCAGGTTGATTCATTTATTTTTTGAGACGTTTATTTTGGAGCTAACTTATTCTGGAGGGGCAAATCTTTCAGAAAACATTTTATGATATAGGAATCAAGGGCCACAGTCAAGTAGGCAGAGAGAGAGGGAGACACAGAATCGGAAACAGGCTCCAGGTTCTGAGCCATCAGCCCAGAGCCCGACGCGGGGCTCGAACTCACGGACCGCGAGATCGTGACCTGGCTGAAGTCGGACGCTTAACCGACTGCGCCACCCAGGCACCCCTAAAGGGAGTTCTTCAAATTGAAATGAGAGGATGTTAAACATAGAATGAAAACATGAAAGTGTAAATCTTGCTGGAAAAGGTAAGTATATAGTCTAATTCAGAATACTTCAATACTGTAATGTTGGTGCTTAAATCATTTTTAATGCTAGTATAAACCTTAAAACCCGAGAGTATTAAGAATAACTCTAGATACAATAATTTGTTAATGGATGCACGTTATGAAAATATGTGAATATTGGGGTGCCTGGCTGGCTCAGTCAGTAGAGCATGCGGCTCTTGGTCTTCAGGTTGTGAGTTTGAGCCCCACGTGGGATGCACAGATTACTTAAAATCTTAAAAAAAAAAATGTGAATATCAACAATAATATAAAACATAGGGGAGGGGTAAAATGTAGTTTTTGTATGCAATCAAATTTATCAGCTTGAAATGGACCTATACTATATAAGATGTTTTATGTAAACCTCCTTGTAACTACAAAGAAGAAATCTCTAGTACATACACAAAAGATAAAGAGAAAGGAATCAAAGCATATCACTAGGAAAATTCAACAATTCATTCCCAGTCATTTCCTAGTTTTGTTAACGTAGTAATGGGGATTGTACACCTAGTTTATTTTCTTATTAATATAGAAGAGCCATTTTTGTAAAGTTTTTAAATGGCATTTTATTGAAATTCCAAACTTTGATTTTCTTTCACAATTCATCGTTCTTACAGAATATATGGAAGCAGAAAGGGCCTTTGGTTATTTGACAGTGAATATTAGTCCTATTAGTTTTAGGTTTGTTTACTTATGGGTCATTTTAGGCAACTTCTTTTTATTGAACATTTTTCACGGAATTTGTTGACAGGTTTAGTAAAATGTTTTTTTGTTGTTGTTATGTAATGTAGGTGATTGTACTTGCCATTCTACTTATTGATTAGGCTAAAATGAACTTCTTCTAAAAATGAACATTCTTGTCTCCACTGAATGAATTACATTTTGTCTGTGTGTGTGTGTGTGTGTGTGTATTCATATATATTCCTGTTATAAATGTTACAATTTTATTTGTAATTTCTGAAAATATAATCCTAACTAAACAGCTTATTTTGTTCTAAAAGAAAGATTCAACAAATCACAAAGATAGCAAGAAGAGAGAAGCAATGGAATTACAATATGTTCAGGATACAACAAAATGGCAATAGTAAATAATTATTGCTATGTAATGATCAATGGCTAAGCACAAGTTGATTACATTATTTAATGAACAATGGCTAAATAAATTAAACAATATCCATCTATCTATCTACCTGTCTAAAGAGAGAGAGATAGAAGGAAAGAGAAAGAGAAAGGAGGGCAACAAGGGAGAAAGAGGAGAGAGAAAAGATGCAGTCATGGTACAATTTTAGCAATTTATTCTTGGAAGTTGGGGCTGAAGAAGATTGAGCCTCCATGAACCAGGCACTGAGGTGGGTGCTTTGATCCACATTTTTTATCCTCAAACAGGGCTGCTGTGTGGGGGAAGCATTTTACTTTACAGCAAACTGAAGCTCTGTCATGCTAAGTAATAGTAATAAAAAAAGCTAATTCCCCCTCAGTTTGAATATATTCTTTGTTATGACTTCTCTAAGAGAGCATAAATTATGTCTTCCTTGTTTTTTTATAATTAATTAATTTATTTATTTTTGAGACAGAGATAGAGCATGAACGGGGGAGGGTCAGAGAGAGGGAGACACAGAATCTGAAACAGGCTCCAGGCTCTGAGCTGTCAGCACAGAGCCTGACGCGGGGCTTGAACCCCGCGAGATCATGACCTGAGCCAAAGTCGGCCGCTTAACCGACTGAGCCACCCAGGCGCCCCATGTCCTCCTTGATTTATACTGAGTTATTGAAAGCTTAATTACACTGCAGTAGGAAGAATTTGGAGTTTGGAGAAAGAAGAGTTTGTCTGAATTCCAGCTTCATTGTGTTCTAGTTCTTGGACTTTTGTCAAGTCTCTTTGTATAAATTTATTTCCGCATGTACAAAAAGTAGGAGAAATGATCTTTACCTTACTGAGTTTGGGGTTAGATTATATAAAAGCCTTTGTAACTGTAAAGTTCATTTTAAATATTATCACTATTTTTCAGTGTCTTGCTTGCTTCTACCGTCAGAACACCTGTCAGCAGACATCTCTGGTGTGGTTTTTATGCTTTCTCATATAGAACTCGCAGAGACTCCGATATCTACTCACTATTTCTCCTCATAGTCCTGCAGCTGTCTTCAAGAGACTTCATACTCTTGGAACAGATTTTCATCTTCCTACAAGTTTCAGGCTTCTCAATTCCTCACTGGCTCTCAGACTTGAGGTCCAGTTGACCATTCTGAGCACTTTAGAGATAGGTAACTTGGAAACCTTGAAGACACTTTCTCTTTCTTCCTGACTTCCTACCAATTCTTAAGTCAAAACATCTGCATACTTCAAAAGCTCAAGCCAAGTCCTAATTCCTTTCTGAAGCTTTCTTGACCCATAAGTTCATAGCAAGCCTCCTTCCTTCTGACTTTATGGATAACATTGCCTGGGTCTCATACTCAGTTTCATACAGCAGATTCTGGCCCTCCTCTCCACCCTAGTCCAAGGGAAGCATGGTTTTGGATGGCTGGCCTTGATTTAAACTGTAGATCACATAAGGACTTCTTAACAAATGTTTACCCTGGGATAAATGTCCCTACGTTGTATACTCAACTAACTCCTAGAGGGATTTCAGATTGAAGCTAACCCTCTAAATTGAAATGACAAAGGTCTACTAATGTCTCTAACATTGAGGAGGTGGAGAAGAGAGGATACATGAAAGTCCCCCCCCTTCCTCTGTCAGGAAGTAAGTGTATCAGAAGGGGGATGGGAGACAGGTGACCCTAGTTTTTCTCCCACGCAGCACATCTAATCTAAAGACTTTTGGCAATCATCATTACCCCCATTTACCTGTTCTGCCGTATGGAGGTCCTTTGTTCTTGATCTTGGAAAGTATGCTGTGCCATTTGTCCTTGAACAGAAACCAGAGACTCTGGAGCTGAAGTTGGAGATAGCTCTAGGCCCTGGGGAGGCACAAATGATAGGGGGAGAGGGCAGGTGTATAGTGAGAAGAGAAGCACTTACCCACAAGGACAGAGGTCTCAGTAGTACACGAAGCATTTGTGTTTTGAATGTGTGTGTGTGTGTGTGTGTGTGTGCACGTGCACATAGGTGTAAAGAAAGATAAGGGTGAGAGGAAGGAAGTGTAGCCCCAGGTAAGTCTTTTTCAGTAAGTAAGAACAGAAGGTTCCAGTGAGAAGGTAGGTGAAAAAAAAAAAAAAAACCTGAGTAAAAAAGAATAGCTGGCTGAGATTGGGGCTAAGAAGCTGGCTAGAGTCCCCTTGAGGTGAAGGTGGACTTTAAAGCAAGGATGGGAAGTAGTGTGTAATGAACTGAAGATAGGAAAATTCCCTATCCCATTCCACCCCACAGTCAGAATCTTCATGGTCATCTAAGGGTAACACTGCAGGCTGGAAGTCTGGCAGCTCCAACCTTCAAGTGCTTTGTGGAGGAAGAGGGAAACCTCATAGTTGATAGTGTCAAAAACACATGGGGTTGAAAGGCCAAAGCAGTGACCTAGACAAGAGTTAAACCCTCCTCTGAAAAGTTGCCTCCCCTTTTCCTGCTCTTATCCTCCCCTCTTCCAAACCCGAGTCAGAACTAGGCCAATTATGCCCGGAAAGTTACCCACCTCCACTGCCCAAGTCATACTTTGTCCCACCCCTTTCCCCCTGGAATTTCTCCTCTTTGAACCCCATTTCACAACAATCCCATCTCATCTGCTCCCCATCTACCTTGCCCTTTTCAACTCTCTGTGACTTCAGCTGTGACATCATAGATCTGAGACAATTGGCTCTCCCGCCCCCCACCCCCTTAGCCGGGGTTCCATTCAATCTAAATGATAATGATGAAAGAATGAGAAAATATAAAATTTGAGTTTTAATTTCTAGGATTTTTGGCTGCTTCATTGCCTTCCACCCATTGCATTAAACATCCAGTGCTTCTGAGAGACAGCAGGAAGGAGCTTAGCAGAATCCACCTTTAACTTTGAATTGCAAAACAGGGTCTGAAAAATTTGGCTTCAATTTCTTTTTTTTCTTTTTTTAATTTAATTTTTTTTTTTAAATTTACATCCAAACTAGTGAGCATATAGTGCAACAGTGATTTCAGCAGTAGATTCCTTAATGCCCCTTACCCATTTAGCCCATCCTCCCTCCCACAACCCCTCCAGTAACCCTCTGTTAGTTCTCCATATTTAAGAGTCTCTTATGTTTTGTCCCCCTCTCTATTTTTTATATCTCTATTTTTATATTATTTTTGCTTCCCTTCCCTTATGTTCATCTGTTCTGTGTCTTAAAGTCCTCATATGAGTAAAGTTATATGATATTTATCTTGTTCTGACTAATTTTGCTTAGCGTAATACCCTCTAGTTCCATCACGTAGTTTCAAATGGCAAGATTTCATTCTTTTTGATTGCCAAATAATACTCTACTGCATATATATACCACATCTTCTTTATCCATTCATCCATTGATGGACATTTGGGCTCTTTCCATACTTTGGCTATTATTGATAGTGCTGCTATAAACAGTGGGGTGCATGTGTCCCTTCGAATCAGCATACCTGTATCCCTTGGATAAATACCTAATACTGCAATTGCTGGGTCGTAGGGTATTTCTATTTTTAGTTTTTTGAGGAATCTCCATACTGTTTTCCAGAGTGGCTGCACCAGCTTGCATTCCTACCAGCAATGCAAAAGAGATCCTCTTTCTCCGCATCCTTGCTAGCATCTGTTGTTGCCTGAGTTGTTAATGTTACCCATTCTGACACATGTGAGGTGGTATCTCATTGTGGTTTTGATTTGTATTTCCCTGATGATGAGTGATGTTGAGCTTTTTTTCATGTGTCAGTTGGCCATCTTGATGTCTTCTTTGGAGAAGTGTCTATTCATGTTTTTTGCCCATTTCTTCACTGGATTATTTGTTTTTTAGGTGTTGAGTTTGATAAGTTCTTTATAGATTTTGGATACTAACCTTTTATCTGATATGTTGTTTGCAAATATCTTCTCCCATTCTGTCAGTTGCCTTTGAGTTTTGCTGATTGTTTCCTTCACTGTGCGGAAGCTTCTTATTTTGATGAGGTCCCAGTAGTTCATTTTTGCCTTTGTTTCCCTTGCCTCTGTAGACGTGTTGAGTAAGAAGTTGCTGAGGCCAAGATCAAAGAGGTTTTTGCCTGCTTTCTCCTCAAGGATTTTGCTGGCTTCCTGTCTTACGTTTAGGTCTTTCATCCATTTTGAGTTTATTTTTGTGTATGGTGTAAAAAAGTGGTCCAGTTTCATTCTTTTTCATGTTGCTGTCCAGTTTTTCATTTGATGTGATTTGTGATACATTTGGGTGTAAGGCTGCCATCTTGCTTTTCGTTTTCTACTTGTCCTAGCTATTCTTTGTTCCTTTGTTCCTCTTTTTCTGTGTCTTTGTGAATTGAGTATTTTTATGATTTTCTTTTATCCCTTTGTTGGATTATTAGCTGTAGCTCTTTTTGTTTTAGTTTAAGGGCTGATTTATGATTTATAGTTTATATCTTTAACATATTAGGGACTACCCTCAAGTGATATTATGTCACTTTATGTGTAGTATAAGAATCTTATAACAATATACTTTCATTTATCCCCTGATGCTTTTATACTATTGTTGTCTTTTGTTATAACCCCCCAAATACATTATTTTTTTTGCTTTAAATATTCAATTATTGTTAAAGGAGATTTAAAAAGAATAAACAGTCTTTTATAATTACTCATGTAAATATCCTTTCTGATATCTTAATTTCTTTATGTGGATCCAGATTTCCATATGGTATCATTTCCTTCTCCGCAAAGGACTTTTCTTTAAATTTCTTGCAGTACAGATCTCCTGGTAATGATATTTTTAAACTTTTGGACATTTGTTCATTTTTCTAGTTTCACAAGTATTTCAAAAGTGGAAATTATTTGGATGATTTGGGATTTGGATGATTTGGAGGCTGTATGCACCCCCAGATTAACTCCTTGGGCAGTAAAGAGTTAACTCTGCTGGCCTGGGTTTCTCATTCCCTACATATTCCAAAGAAAGGCCTGTCTTCAGGACTCCTTGGCTGGCTCCTGGGAGATAATCTCCAAATCCTTGGAATATTCTGCCTGACAAGAATGTTTTTGTAGACGGAGGCTTTGAGCCATGGTGTACTAGCTTGACCAAATAAGTTTACATTTATGGTGAATGTTTTTGATCTGGAGGCGACTTGAGTCTGAGTAGTTGAGGCTGGTCACATAGGCACTGCATGAGACTGACCTCCAATAAAAACTCTGGACTTCATAGCTTGTGTGAGCTTTCCTGGTTGGCAACTCTTCACATGTGTTCTCACACATCATTCCTGGGAGAATTAAGTGGGTCCCCATGCAACTTCACTGGGAGGGAACAACTGGAGTCTTGTGCTTGGTTTCTCTTGGATTTTGCCACATGTGCTTTTTCCCTTTGCTGATTTTCATTTGTATCCTAACCCTGTAATAAACTGTAACCATAATTAGGACCACTTCTGAAGTCCTGTGAGTCTTTCTGGTGAGTCATCAAGCCTGAGGGTACTCTTGGGACTCCCAGCTTAACCCCCGAATCTCAGCAGTTTAAAACTGGGAAGTTTTGGTTTTGTTCACATTACATGTCCTTTCTGGGGAGCTTTAGGGGAAAGGCCCTACTCTGTATCATCCTCACTCAAGTAATCAAGCTGAGGAAGTTTCTTCTTCATGCTTCAGCAATTTCTGATGCAGCAAACTAGAAACATGATGAATTGTGCCTGTTTTAAAAACATTTTCCTTGGGGCGCCTGGGTGGCTTGGTCAGTTAAGCGTCCGACTTCGGCTTGGGTCATGATCTCACGGTCCGTGGGTTCAAGCCCTGCGTCAGGCTCTGTGCTGACAGCTCAGAGCCTGGAGCCTGTTTCAGATTCTGTGTCTCCCTCTCTCTCTGCCCCTCCTCTGTTCATGCTCTGTCTCTCTCTGTCTCAAAAATAAATAAACGTTAAAAAAATTTTTTTTAAAAACATTTTCCTTAAACATGTAACTTCCACTTATTTCATTTTGTTTTAGACAGATCAGGAACAGGAGAGAGGGGCAGAGGGAGAGAGAGAGAGAATCTTAAGCAGTCTCCACTCTGAGCGTGGAGCCCATTGTGGGGCTGGATCCCACGACCCTGAGATCATGACCTGAGCAGAAATCAAGAGTCGTATGCCCAACCAACTGAGCCACCCAGGCCCCCCAACTCATATTTCATTGGTTCAAGCAAGACATAGGCACTCTTAGCTTTGAGGTGGTTCAGAAATTCCCTCCTATCATGCTGTTAGATAGAAAACTGGAATATTGGTGAATAGCATTGCTAATTACTTCAGCATTTGCAAGCTCTAAAAGTCCTGGCCTGAGGCATCTACCATTTAAAGTAGGATCTATTAAGCAGACAAAAAGAATTACAAGAAGTATAAGGAAACAGGGAAAGTGGAATTTAGTAATATTCATGAAGGTATAGAAATCAAAGAAGAAAGTGGTAGTTAAGATTTGTCAAGAGTAAGATTTTAGTGCACAGACTGTGTAGTTCCCGAGAGGGAAGAGAGCCAGAAGCCAGCTTACAGGGAAAGTGGGCCTTAAAAAAAGAATTGATGGGTGGGAAGTAATGTCATTATACTTGGACATGCTGTTGAAAAACACAGCAACAGAAAGAAAGATTTGATAAGTCTGCTAAACTGCTTAAAATCTGTATTTGAAAACTAAAAGATTTACATGTTTTGTTAAAGACTAGAAGTATTTGAGTCTGTTCATTCATGCTGAAACATCTCAATCATCTTTCTAAAATAGGAAAAGAGGTATCAGGATAGGGGTTTTATTAAAAAAAAAAACAATGAGGTATCCTCATGGAAAGGGTATCAGGAATAAAACAACAATGAAGAGAGATCAGGAGGTTGATGTTAACATTATTTGTTCTGTAAATGTTTATTAAGTACCTGCTGTGTCTTGACTACTAGGATGGAAACTGGGAGTAAAATAGCTGGAGGAGGTGGTCCAAGTCCTTGAGTAGCTCTTTTGTAGTTAAGCAGTAATGTTTGGATGAGCTATGCAGTAAATGTCCATGTTAATGGGGAGGAGGTCAATAGGGTGGTCACTGTTACAATAACAAAGCAGTAGAAAGGATGTGTGAACTATAATGGAAAGGAGGAGTCTATTCTGTTCAGAAATCCCAATAACAAAATGCCATGTATGTTTAATTACTTGAGTTATGTGTTTTAAATGTTTATAATTCAGGGTTTTAACTGGTGTAATCCCTCTCCTGTAGCAGTTAACAAATATTTTCTAAATCCAGCTAGCTTCTAAACAATCCCAGCTAGTGAGGCTGAAGACAATTTATGCTTGCATTTGGCTATAGCAGGTCAGGTTGGAGCTCACTAGGAATGCCTCAAGGGTATCCCCTCTCTTTTATTTCTAATACTTTTGCTGAGAGGAAGCTGAAGACAAAGTGGGCAGCTGGCCAATTTCTTCAGAGGTCTCTAGATGAGGGAGGCTAAAGTTCAGCAGTTGTTCCTGAGCTTGGACACTGGGGAGCTCCTTCCACAAATTTTCCTTAACTAAGCCTCCCATGATCTGTCAGAGGAGGCAGAAGCTGCCGGAGCCTAAAGAGACAAGTGTAGTTTGCAGTAACAAGACCCCGAGATACCTGGCAGAATCTCACTTCCCATTCATCTCTCTCTATGGCTAATAATGCTCAGTGGGAGCACAGTTCCTTCTCCCCAGGACAATATCTAATGTTATCGTGGATGTAG